GTTTCTCATTTGATTTTCTTTACTATTTTATTTTTGTTTTACTTTTTTATTTTCCTGGATTGTATTCTTTCATTTTCCTGGATTTTTATTTTATGATGGTTTTATTTTTAATTTTATTTTTTTATCGGTTGATTTTAATTTTTTTCTTGTATTATTTTTTATGTCATTTGATTTCGTTATTTCATTTCATTTCATCTTTAATTTGATTCCTCCAAACCTCAGCTTTTTTGGGGGGGCCTTTATGTCAAAAGCAGCAAATTCAGACGTTACCCCCCCAGAAAAGGCATCTCCAGAGCGGGGGGGGAATGGTGCTGGTGATTAATTCACTTATTAGTGACCAGTTAATTAATTAACGACCGATAATTAACGGCCACTGAGGATTCACGGGATCCGGTCACGTGACTGGGGCCGATTTCCCGCCAAAATTGGCACCCCCTCCCCCAGGAGGACTCAGGACCCCCCCAAAAACGCAGAGCGGGAGCTTGAACTGGTTGAACTGGTTTATTATGGGATCGCCCCTGGGGGACGTCAGTGTCACCCGGATGCCAGGACCCCCCCCCAGTCACTCCCAGTATCTCCCAGTCTATCCCAGTCACTCCAGCTTCATGTCCCCAAACTGGTCCCAAACTGAAAAGACAACGGCTCATGGGTGTCACCCTGGTGTCCCCATCCCATTAATGTCCCTGTCCCCAAACTGGTCCCAAACTGGGGAGAGGACAGTGGGTCACAGGCATCACCCTGGTGTCCCCATCCCATTAATGTCCCTGAACCCAAACTGGTCCCAAACTGGTTGCAAACTGGGAGGACAATGGGACATGAGCATCCTCAAGCCACCACCCCAGTATCCCCATCCGAATGTCCCAGTCCCCAAACTGGGAGGAGGGCAATGGATCACGGGCATCACCCTGGTGTCCCCATCCCGTTAATGTCCCTGAACCCAAACTGGTCCCAAACTGGGGGTAGGACAACAAGCCATGAGCATCTTCAAGCCACCACCCATGGGGACATCCTGATGTTCCCATCCCCATTGCATCCCTGTCACCAAACTGGTCCCAAACTGGGAGGAGGGCGATGGATCACGGGCATCACCCTGGTGTCCCCATCACATTAATGTCTCTCGTCCTAAACTGGTGCCAAACTGGTTGCAAACTGGGAGGAGGACAACAAGCCATGAGCATCCTCAAGCCACCACCTTGGTGTCCCCATCCCATTAATGTCCCTGTCCCCAAACTGGTCCCAAACTGGGTCATGAACATCCTCAAGTCACCACCCATGGGGTCACCCCAATGTTCCCATCCCCATTGCATCCCTGTCACCAAACTGGTCCCAAACTGGGGGAGGACAATGGGTCATGGGCATCACCCTGGTGTCCCCATCCCATTAATGTCCCTGTCCCCAAAGTGGTCTCAAACTGGGGATAGGACAATGGGTCATGAACATCCTCAAGCCACCACCGCAGTGTCCCCATCCCATTAATGTCCCTGTCCCCAAACTGGTAGGAGGACAAAGGTACAGGGCCGTCCTCAAGCCACCATCCCAATGTCCCTGTCCCCAAACTGGTCCCAAACTGGGAGGAGGGCGATGGATCACGGGCATCACCCTGGTGTCCCCATCCCATTAATGTCCCTGTCCCCAAACTGGTAGGAGGACAAAGGTACAGGGCCGTCCTCAAGCCACCATCCCAATGTCCCTGTCCCCAAACTGGTCCCAAACTGGGAGGAGGGCGATGGATCACGGGCATCACCCTGGTGTCCCCATCCCATTAATGTCCCTGTCCCCAAACTGGTCTCAAACGGGGGATAGGACAATGGGTCATGAACATCCTCAAGCCACCACCGCAGTGTCCCCATCCCATTAATGTCCCTGTCCCCAAACTGGTCCCAAACTGGGTCATGAACATCCTCAAGTCACCACCCATGGGGTCACCCCAATGTTCCCATCCCCATTGCATCCCTGTCACCAAACTGGTCCCAAACTGGGAGGAGGGCGATGGATCACGGGCATCACCCTGGTGTCCCCATCCCATTAATGTCCCTGTCCCCAAACTGGTCCCAAACTGGGTCATGAACATCCTCAAGTCACCACCCATGGGGTCACCCCAATGTTCCCATCCCCATTGCATCCCTGTCACCAAACTGGTCCCAAACTGGGAGGAGGGCGATGGATCACGGGCATCACCCTGGTGTCCCCATCCCATTAATGTCCCTGAACCCAAACTGGTCCCAAACTGGGGGTAGGACAACAAGCCATGAGCATCTTCAAGCCACCACCCATGGGGACATCCCCCTCACCCCCCCAGCCGATTTCGGGGCACGGTGGCGTCCCCGTCACTCGGCTTGGGGACACTGCACGCCGCGCGTCACCGCGGGGGCGGCCGCCCTCTGGAGGCGATCGAGGCCGCGCAGGAGCCCCATCTTGTGGCGGATGGAGTGGTCCAGGTTGACGGTGACCCCCAAAAAAGCCCGAGCCTCCGTAGCCGTGAAGGGGAAATCGGTGGCCAAAAAGTCCTGGAAGAGCTCGGGGTCCCCGTCCAGGCTCAGGGCGTTGTGCAGGGATTGCCGGAGGCCGCTCAACTCGCCGACGTTGTCCTGGAAGATGCTCCACAAGCTCCTGTCCCCAAATTCGGGCTCCGGCTGCCGTTGGCACGCGTCCTCCACGCACTGCAC